AGGAGGCCCCAGTCTTGGTGCCCCGACGGAGGAACGGGGCGCCAGCCCCTCGGGACCCTGGCCTTGTGACAACTTGCCACTACTTACTGACTTCAGCTTCAAGTCAGAGGGGAGTGGCCGCGGGCACATCGTGGGCACAGGGGACCCTCCACAGCCCGCCCCCCGGTGGGCGGAGGGTGTTTGCATCCACTCTGCTCATCAAAGCGTTGGCCGTAGCCAGACTTCTTAAGCATAAAAAGAAAGAAAAAAAAAGCTTATTATCAGGAGAAAGCGGGTAAGAGACTCCTTAGGTGGCAGTGCAGACAAATCGGGGCTTCTGAGCCAAATCACACCTGTCTTTCCGATGACCTCAAGTTACGGCTCCCGCTTACCGAGCACCGGGCGCCATGCCAAGCACCTTAGACCATCTCTTACTCTGCTCACAGCACCAGCCCGAGATGGGGACTATTATCATCCCCGCCTTACCAATGAGGAAAGTCAGGCGCAGAGGTCCTGCCCAAGGTCACAGAGCTGGCGACGGCCAAGCCAGGAAGCGCACCCTGGAGGCCTGGCTCCCGATGGGCTCCTCGCCGGGCTACGGCCATTGCCGCGTAGGCACATAGCACGTGCTCAGGAAACATCTAACAGGTGAGACGGAAGTATCTCTCTCTCTCCGTCGGCGGAGCTCTCGCCCAGGAGCAACGGGCAGGTACAGGCGGGCGGATGAGCCTCAGTCCGCTCCCGTGTTGGCACACCAGTCGCTCGAGCGCCACAAACAGGGAGGCAGGAAACACGGAGGCACTGCACGCCTCCATCGGTCACCGGGTCCTCAACGCGGGACTTTGGCCTGCTTGCACTGAAGGCACCCTTGACCCCTTCATCTCTGTCCAGGAAGCTATCAGGAGGGCCCGGTGTCCCAAGGCGGGGGGAGGGAGGGAGGTGTAGGAAGGAACAGGTTGAAAGCTCACCACTGGGACCTGGGATGTCCCTTCCCTGAGGGATCTTTCTCCCAGACCACTCTCTTTCTCCTCTGGGCTCGGGAAGCCTAGCGAGCAGCCTCTTCCCTCATCTGTAATGTGGATGTGACTCGGCAGGCCGCCTGCCCTGGCGAGGACCACGTTCCCAGAGTCCCTTGCACCCACACGCGGGCACTGAGTTCCCACGGTGATGTGTGTCCCCTCCGGCCTGATGTCGTTTCTCCTCTCTCCTCTTTTCTGCCGGCTCGAGGCCATCGCCCAGGGGGACCTTGGACATCACGACGGCAGGGCCTCCGCCAGCCTGGGCCCCCGAGCGACTGTGTGGAGCAGAACTCTCTAGTCGACCCGGCGCACCACACATGGGGCACACAACGCCCACCTCAGACTGTGGGCACAAGCAGGAAACAAACACGCGCTGCGTCTGAGCCGCGCGCGACCCGTGTTACCGTCTATTCGCTGGAACCGCGAGCCTCCCCGAAACGAACGCTTCCCCGCGTCCCCCAAAGGACCCATTCCCCTTTCTCCTCCACCGCATCACCATTTCCCCAGTCAAGGAGGCTAGAGACCTTCTAGATACTTCATCTAGAGAGACTCGTGAATGTGCACACCAGGGAACATCCTGACAATAACCCCGTTGTTCGTCACAGCAAAAAATTTTTAAAAAAATGGAAAGAACCCAAGACCCCTTGACAGAAAGACATAACCAAATCCCATTCACGAAACGGAATACTACGTAGCCGTGCAAAGGAACGGGGGCGATAGGCAGCGGGAAGGAATCTCACCAACACGGTGTTGCGTGAAACGGGCAAGACACGGAGTAACGGGAACGAATGTGGTTGGAAGCATCTAAACTCTAAAAACGGGCAGTGCTGCACAGCAGGTGGTTCCGAGATGCCGCCGCGAGTGGTGAAATCGTAACGAGGGGCGGAGTGATGACAAACACAACGTTCAGGGTAGCGAGAGGCCCCGGGTGTGGGAGGCGGGCGGGAAGGGTCACCCGCAGGACCGCGGAGGGGTTTGCAGTGTTCTCTTTTGCAAAGAAAACAGGGCCGCGTAGACCCGGGTCCTGTCTAAGAATCCCTTAAATCCTCCAGGAACATTATAAAGACTTTTTCGTAGCTGCGATCGACTGCGTAGTAAATCGGTGAGTTAATAAGCCTGGAAAGCTGGCAGTTGCCCCTGACCCGCCTCGTTGCCTCGGTTCTCACACAAACGGGGAGTTGAATGCGGTCCTGCTCTCCGGCTGACGGTGGCGGCCCTTTGACCCCGTCTTTGCGCCCGCCTCAGTTCTTACCGCCAAGCCAGTTCCCCGTCTAGAACGTTCTCTTAAAAAATCTAGACCAAACCACATCGCACCCTGCTCAGAGGGCTCCCCCTGCTTCAGAGCCACAGCGAAGCTCGTCCCTGTGAGAGCGATGGGGACCCGCCTTCTCTCCCAGGACATTCCCTTGCGCCAGCTCCCTCCATTCCGACACCGGGAGGCCTTTGGCCAGGTTCTAGAACACACAGAGTCAGCCCCCCATTCGGGGCTCTGGCCCCCGCTGCGCTCTCCACTGTGGCCCCTTCCCACTCTTTCTATCCAGTCTGAGATACCACCTCCTGGACGGCCTCCCTGACCACTTGTCTGAGGTAGGTCCCCTGGGGCTCCCAGCCGCACGCCCCCGTTTGTTTCCTTCGTGCCCCGAGCGTTATTTGGGGCTGGGTTACCGCATTGTCTGCTTGGGACATCAGACTATGAGCTCCGTGGAGGAGGAACCTCCATTGTGGTCTCAGTGGTGGGGGGTGCCATTTTCCCCCGTCCACTCTCCGGAAACTTCAACTTGTACTTTGACTCCCCAGCGTGGCCACAGTCTTTGGCCCAAAGCACAGCTCATTTTCACTAAAAAAAAAAAAAAAAAAAAAAAAAAA